ATTTTTTTCTAGATAGTTGAAATATAATTATTATTTGGCTGCAAAGCTGTACATTAACCACAGATGACATTCTATAATATGATAGGCTGCATTCAGAAAATTCCCCAATGTTCCAGGTGAGTTTCAGGAAAGTGAAATAGTTTCCTACTATGGATCAAGAGAACTGCTCACCTTCTCTACACTTGCCAAAGTTGTTTAAGCACTCTTTACCCACTGCAAAATTAAACTTTACTTTCTGACACAGTTACACATACCCCTCCGCAGACCAGCGCCTTCAGAAGACCACGGTGTCTGACTAAAACCAGAAGCCCAATGAAACCTGGCTGTCCTGCTCCTTATCCCACTGTATGCACAACCCTCATTAAATGATATGAGATTTCAGCCCAAAGAAATGATTTCACATGTGTAAGTCAAGGCTGACTAAAATTCAGAATAAAGTCTTCCCAGGATAATGTTCTTCCCACAACAGTAGTTCCCCGCTGCTTACAGGGCATTCCTTCCATGACCCCACTGGATTCTTGGAAACTACAATACAATTTAACTTACAAATTAGGCACACTAAGAGATTAACAAAGTAGCTAACGATAAATAAAATGATTATGACAATATCCTATAATAAAAGTTAAATGAATGTGGTCTCTCGTTGTCAAAATATCTTAATGTACTGTACTCTCCTCTTTTCTTGTGATGATGTGAGATGGTACAATGCCTATGTGATGAGATGAAGTTAAGCGAACATACTGGACAAATAAATTATTCATTTTCCGGGTGGGATGAGATAGACAGTGTGAGATTTCATCATGATGCTCAGAAAGGCGTGCGATAGAAATCTTATGAATTGTTTATTGCTGGAATTTTCCATTTAATATTTTTGGACCATGGTTGTGGGTAACTTAAACCATAGAGGGGAAAATTGTGGATAAGGGGGGATCTTGTCCCTTGCTTCTGCTGCAACCAAGGGGCAAGCTGAGGTAGCAGCACTGAAGTCAGGAAGACAATTCCTTCCTCTATACCAAAATAATCTCTCAAGTCTTAGGCAGAGCAGTTGATCAGTAGTCCGTACAATTATTTCATTTCAATAAACAAGGACTTTTCTTTCCTTTTAGTTACTATAAAATTTATTTTCTGTTGAAAATAAAATTTATTTTCTTTCTCCGTAAGGAGAAAGAAAAATTGTATGAGGAGGGAGAAGCTGGATGGTAGAAATATGAGTCTTGTTCTAGATACAGCAGAAATTTCCCAGTTTGAATGGTACTATATAAAAAGAACTAAAATCGTCACAGGAAGATACCTGTGTCAGCACATCACTTTACAAATGAATAAGGAGCATAGTCAGTAACACAGAAAACATACATATTAAAAAACAGGAGCATGGACCTTCTTCTTCAGTAATATTAATTGGAGAGATGCTGTCAATCATGTGAACTTCCTATATGCCAGGCACTGTGGTGCATCTCATTTTAACTTACCTATCACCCAGTGAAAAAGGCATTAAATCATTTTACATAAAGTAAACACATGCAAGGTTTACACATCCTGCCAAATTTACATACCTCTTTCTATCTGCGGACTATGGCAAATCATTTTAGAATCACTAGTATAACAACTAGAATGATTGTAAATATGTACTTTTTACTTTCATTACTAAATATGATGAATGAGTATAAATCACCAGGCATTCAATGAATTTTTAAAAAAATAATGCCCTGTTATTTAAACACCTTTGAAAAGTAAAGCAGGAAGTTAGTAAACCTGACAGGTGGGATATTATAGGTTTTGTCCTGGGGAGAATCAAAAATACAAAACAAAATATTGTAGACTGACTTACTATTTGGTTATTATTTTCACTTATATGAAATTATGCCTTTCATTCTTCACTTATTTAGGTAAAATATCCCATGCCTCAATTTATTGAAAAATGGCTACTCTACATTTTTAAACATAAAAATGCCAACCGGAAATTTATATACCTGTGTGAAGGACCCTATGAAAACATACAAAATAACAGCAGCAGAGTTGTTTGTAAATTGTATGTTATACATTTTTTTCATGGAAATAATACAAGACAGAGTTATTTACTAAAACTACTGGTTTTCAATTATTCTATATCATTGATATTTGATGTCAAAAAAAATCTAAAAAAGAAAGAAGGAAAGGGACACCTTTTGTACCTTTAATACATTCTGGCATCTCCGGCTCCCATACATTGTTAGCACCACAGAAAATTGTGCTGTTGCCTTTAAGTTTAAAACCCTCCAGGCATTCAAATACAACCTTTGCTTTGTAGTCATATTCTTTTTTAAATCCTGCCACCAGTCTTCCATTTTCGACTACTGGATCTTGACATTTGACCACTGAAAGGAGAAATTCCAGAATTAATAAAAAGCTGCTTTGACATAGCACAGAAAAACTAGTGTAAAGTAGCTATTTTCAGTGTGAACAAAGAGACAAGAAATAGAAGGCAGGATATTACTTTCTGAAAAAAAGTGTTGAATTATGTATTTTAATTCCAGGTAAACAGATGTAGAGAAATCTAGTAATCTTTTTCTACATAGAACAGACTGTCATTACGGTTTATTGGTTTATTACATTTTTTCTTCATTCCTGAGAAGTTTTAAGAAGGTTTGATTAACAGATACAAATTATGGGAAATGATCAAGTCACCTTTTGATACTCTTTAGCTCTAGAGATTTAAAAAAAATTTTATGCTGACACTGATGACAATGTCCTGCTTTTTAGAAAGACAGGAAAGACTCTTGTGAGGAGGTAATACTTGAACTCAAATGTAAAATCTGAAAAGAAGCTAGCCACACAAAGATTAGGGAAAAGCAAGTCCTCAAGTAGCGACAACATTCATGAACTGGGCTGTTCAAGGAATAGAAATGCCAGTGCAGTTTTGGACCATAACCCAGAGATGAAACACCACATTTATTTGTTTGTTTGTTCGTTTGTTTGTTTATAAGCCAAAATTACATTTTTCCTTTAAAAAAAACATTTATTAATCTTAATTAGTTTCAAGCATACAGTACATTTGTTAGACATCTATATATTTCATAAAATGATCCCCCTAATTGCTCCTTCTCTCCCCTGAACCTCCACCTAGCCAACATATTATCACTAATTGTATTCCCTATGCTGTGCTTGCCATTTCCGTGACCATCTATTAACTACTAATTTGTACTTCTTTAGACCGTCACCCCATTCTCCCAAACCCCCAATTTCCCTCCTCTCTGTCCATCACCAAATTGTCCACTATATTTGTGAGTCTGTTTTTGATTCGTTTGTTTTTTTGTTCCTTAGATTCCGCATGTAAGTGAAATCACATGGTATTTATCTTTCTCTGCCTGACTTATTTCACTCAGCATAATAACCTATAGATCCATCTATGTTGTTGCAAATTGTAGGATTTCATTTTTTTAATGGCTGAGTAATATTCCTTGCATATATGAACCATAATTTCTTTGTCCAATTGTCTGTTGATGGGCATTTTGGTTGCTCCCATATCTTGGCTATTGTAAATTGTGCTGCTATGGACTTTGGGGTGCATAGATCTTTATAAATTATTGTTTTGATGTTCTTTGGATAAATACCCAAAAGTGCAATTGTTGGGTCAAAAGATATATCCATTTTTAATTATTTGAGAAGCCTCCATACTGTTTTCCATAGCAGCTGTACCAATTTGCAATCCTACGAACAATGTATGAAGGTTCCATTTTCTCCCCACTTATTGTTTTTTGATTTATTGATGATAGCCATTCTGACAAGTGTGAGGTGATATCTCATTGTGGTTTTAATTTGCATTTCTCTGATGATCAGCAACCGTGAGCATATTTTCATATGTCTATTAGCCATCTGTATTTCCTCTTTGGAGAAGTATCTGTTCAGGTCTTCTGCCCATTTTTTAATTGGATCGTTTATTTTTTTGTTGTTGAGTTGCATGAGTTCTTTATATATTTTGGATATTAACCCCTTATCAGATGTATCATTAGCAAATATCTTCTCCCAATCATTTGGTTGTCTTTTTGTTTGGTTGATGGTTTCCTTTGCTGTACAAAAACTTTTTAGTTTGATGTAGTCCCATTTGTTTATTTTTTCTTTTGTTTCCCTCGCCCGGGGTGATATATCCGGGGTGATATATCCGAAAAGAAATTACTGTTAGTAATATCAGAGAGTTTACTGCCTAAGTTTTCTTCTAGAAGTTTTATGGTTTTGGGTCTTACATTTAAGTATTTAATCCATTTTGAATCTATTCTTGTATACGGTGTAAGAAGGTGATCCAGATTCTTTATTTATTTTTTTTTTGCATGTATCTGTCCAGTTTTCCCAACATCATTTACGTAAGAGACTGTCTTTGCCCCTTTGCATATTTTTACCTCCTTTGTCATATATTAAATGAGCAAACAGGTGTGGATTTATTTCTAGGCTCTCTATTCTGTTCCATTGATCAATGGATCTGTTTTTATGCCAGTATCATGCTGTTTTGATTACTGTAGACTAGTAGTATAGTTTGATATCAGGTAGTGTGAAACCTTCAACTTTGTTCTTCTTTCTCAAGATTGCTGTGGCTATTCGGGGTCTTTTATGGTTCCATATCAATTTTAGGATTATTTGTTCTTGCTCTCTGAAAAATGCCATTAGTACTTTGATAGGGAATGCATTGAATCTATAGATTGTTTTGGGTATGGCCATTTTGAATGATGTTGATTCTTCCTACCCATGAGCATGATATATGCTTCCATTTATTTGTATCTTCTTCAATTTCTTTTTTTAATGACTTATGATTTTCTGAAAACAGGTCTTTTACCTTCTTGGTTAATTTGATTCCCAGGTATTTTATACTTTTTAAGTGCAATTATAAATGGGATTATTTTCTTAATTTCTCTTTCTGAAAGTTCATCATTGGTGTATAAAAATGCCACTGACTTCTGAATATTTATTTTGTAACCTGCTACATTACTGAATTCATTGATCAGTTCTAACAGTTTTCGGTGGAATCTTTAGTGTTCTCTGTATATAGTATCATGTCATAGGCAAATAACTAGAGTTTCACTTCTTCCTTTCCAGTTCGGATACCTTTTATTTCTCTTTCTTGTCTTATTTCTGTGGCCAAGACTTCAACAAAATGTTGAAGAGGAGTGGTGAAAGTAGGCATTCTTGTCTTGTTCCTGATCTTGAGGAAAATGCTTTTAGCTTTTCACTGCTGAATATGTTAGCCGTGGGTTTGTCATATATGGCCTTTTTTATATTGAAGTATGTTCCTTCTATTAAACTTAGCTGAGAGTTTTTTTTTTTATCATAAATAGATGCTGAATTTTGTCAAATGGTTTTTTTTTTGCATCTATTGATATGATCATATGATTTTTATTCCACATGGGTTTATTGGGTCACACACCACATTTTACATTGTAAACCAGTATATAATCTCATAGGCTTGAGATAAAGCTAAAAGTTAATACATAGACTTCATACCAGTGTATGCTGGTATTTTCCATTAGACTCTACTAATTAGCAAGTAAAATGCTGGTCATGGTCCTCTTGATTAATTTCAGGATCCATTAATGTGTGTGGCAGGATTTGGAAAAAAATTTAAAAACAGACTGGGTAGTGAGTGCAAGAGAACATTTTATAAGATTAAATCCAAACAATAGATAAGGGCCCATAATGTAGAGCCTTTTAAGCCAGAGCAGAGCTCTTCCTCCTTGTCTGTGATCTGAATTTCCATCAGATATCTTTTCCCTTTAGCCTGAAAAAGTTCCGTTAGCAACTCTTGTAGTGCTGGTTGGATGTGACAAATTCTCTCACCTTTACCTCAAAATATTTTTATTTATTTCACCTTCAGTTCTGAAAGATTTCTCCTTAACAGAGATTTCAAGGTTACATGTTTTATTTTATTTTATTTTTCAGCACTTTAGCAGATAATATTGTCTTCTAGTCTCCACAGTTCTTTCACAGTTCCTTAAGAAAAGTCATTCCACTTGGCGGGTGGCGGGGCAGCATGGGGGAAACGCAATGTAATATTTTTTTCTCCCTCCTTCACTGGCTTCTTTTATTTAAACTTTTGATATCAGTAATTTTACTATGATACATTTAGTTTATTGGGGATTTCTTGGTAAATTTTAAAAATTTATTTATCCTGTTATCACTGAATTTCCTGGACTTGCGGGGTTATTTTGTTTCATGTGGTAAATTTTTGGCCAATTTTTATTCAAATAATTATCTATACTGTTGTTTCTTCTCTCTTTTTGTAATTCCAATAATATATATGTTTGACTGCTTGCTACTCTTCCCCAGGTCTGTAACTCTCTCCCTCTTATTTTAATATTCTTTTCAAATCATGTTGGATTCTATTGTTCAGAAGTTAGGTTTGCTGATTTTTTTCATGTTGTGGTAAATGCTGGTAGCCACATTAATGATTCTCAGTTAGTTTTACCAGATGTAAGTTACATACAGTAATATTCATCCTTTTAAGTGTACAGCTGTATGAGGTTTCATAAATGCAAATGCTAACCATAGAATTACAACAGAATAGACATAGAAAAGTTCCATTACCTATAACATTTCTTCATGCCACTCATAATCAACTTTCTCCACTGCCCCCAACCACCTTTCCCAACTATCCAACCATTGATCCATTTTCATCCCTATCATGTTGCTTTTCCAGAATGTCATAATGGGATCACAGCCTTTGAGTATTGCTTATTTCACTTATCACAATGCATTTGAGGTTTGCTCCTGTTGTGTGGATCAGAAGCTCATTCCTTTTTATTGCGGACTATTATTCTGTTGTATAAATGTACCATGGTTGTTTAGCCATTCACCAACTGAAGGATATGTGGATATTTCCAATGTAGGGTGATTATGCTTAAGGCTGCTATGAATATTCTCATACTGGTTTCTATGTGAACATTTTTTAACTTACTTGGATTGCTGAGTTGCTTGGTAAATATATATTTAACACTATAAAAAAATGCCAAACCGTGTTCCCTAATGGACATACCACTTTGCAATCTTAACAGCAATGTATGAGAGTTGCAATTGCTCCATATCTTTGCAAGTACATGGTACCGTTAGGTTTTTTTTTGTTGTTTGTTTTAATTTCAGCCATTCTAGTACGTGTTTAGTGATATCTCATTGCAGTTTTAAATCGCATTTGTCTGTTTACTAACATATTGAACAACTATTCATGTACTTTTTCATCATCCTTATATCTACTTTGGTGAAATAGGTCTATTCAGATCTTTTGCCCATTTAAAGAGTTGGGATGTTTTCTCATTGTCTTTCTTTATATAATCATAAATAAAAGTCCATTATCAGGTATATGCTTGCCAATATTTTATCCCAGTGTTTGACTCAT